GGGCTCGAGCAAACTTGCTGAGCGAGGGGTACCAGAAGTCTTGGATCACAATGGCTTCGTTGACTCCAACTTCAAGTAACTTCAACGGCTACTCCAATAGAACTAACTTGGAAGTTGATACCACACTTGTGCTTTATGCAAGATGTTGGTATGCACATATGACGGTGTGGTAAACAGTTTGAATCACTAAAGGCTTAAACTTTATTGATAACCTCCGTAGTTGGAAAACACTCACGAATGTCAACCACACGCTGATAAAACGGCTCGATGTCTTCTGCAAATAAAACAATGATAATTATAAAAGCATCCCGTTCAAGAATGGATCAACGAGAGCCACAAAACATCATTGTTAATTTAAGCTATTCAACAAAGCTTTCCATCACTAGCATTTATTTTTTACCGGTCTTATTTTTTTGATATGATCGAGGATGTCACATGACAGGTTCACACGAGGGACTTTTTCACGCGTTTTGAAATTTCCAAATTTTTTGCATGACCAGGGGGTCACTGCCCCTTTTCAATTTCGTGTACGTGGAAATGGCAATGGAAAAATCCAATTGAGTGTTCCTTCTCGTTGCAGATTGCGTCATGAAAGGCTGAAGAAAGTTCCTAGAGATGTTGGCGGACCAAGTGCTTATCAAACTCTGACGTGCTTTGAACTAGAAGACACGCCTGCTCTCCCCAACCCTCCCTCGTCTTCGTCTATCGACGACCCATTTGATATCAGAACATAAACAATTTACAAAGCGAGAAGTGACCAGCTTGTATCTGACTGCAATGTAGGGGATTAACATTTTTGGCTATTTTTTCTAAAATAGAATGGTTGGTCTTTTTATTGCAATGAAAATATGAGAAACTCATCTTTAAATTTTCTAAGTATCTGCTTTTTTGTCATTTAAAATTTTGTGTCCCAAATACGACCCAAATCTTTGTACATCTAGAAATTGATAGTATTTATTTTGACAAATTGCATGCAAATCCGCGTAACTACGTACACAATATCTTGTTAGAGACTCGCATAACTGAAAGCTTTGTGGACGCAAGTACTTTCAGTCAACGTGACTCTGACGTTTAAATCGAGTTCTCGACTCACGTCACGTTATTTTATTGTGCCGTTATACGTGTATCAGTAGTCAAATTACTTCCTCGTTCAAATTTTGTTGTCATGACTGTCTTAAAGAATTTTAACTTAAAACTCTCCACAATTGAAAATACTGACAACGCTTGCACAAGAGAACAAATATAATACATTAGGATTCGCAGTCCATAGAAGCAGTGTGAAGTGCATTTTGCGAATTTTTATTTAAATGCATGCACAATACTGCCCAGATGCTCGTAATTTATAGGTAAACAGTACTCGAGTGTGAAGTGTGAAGTTTGACGAAATTTCCAAGATTGTTAAATGGGATAACAATATTAATTTGAATTTTTGAAAATTGCCCGATTAAGCTTAGCGTGTAAAATTTTAAACCAGGTAGCTCAGAATCTGCAGGGGTTTTTATCTATTTTGAGCGTATATATTATCTTTGTTTCTATATTCACGGGCACGATAGTATTTATAATAAGTAATTTTAATAAGAATAAATGCGATGAATCGCTGGACGGGAAGCGTACTGTAAATAAGTAAATCAGGGAATATTCCGAGCTGTAACTCTATCCGCAAAACTTGTAAAATTTGAAAAAAAATATTAAATTCCTATCAATAAAGTGACTCAAATTTTTTCGGTCTACTTTGACCTAGATATTCCATTCCTGCTTGCAGTGAAATTTCTTTAATATATCTCGTTCGTGATTGGTCAATGGCGAATGCAATATTGGGTTTCCGTGTATATTGCACTTTTTCGAGTGAAAATTACGCTCTTGGAGATAGATAAGAAATGTTGATTTTTGAAATAATTCGAAAAACACAACAAGCTTGTTTTTCTGTCACAAACGTTGCATAAAGTAATGTACTCAAAGAAACATACGAGCGTTTTCTAAGCTGTTGAAAGGTATTTCGAGGCACGTGCGCCGAGGATGTACTAAAGAACTTTGGTAAGTGATTACCTTTGGATGATATTAATAATAATTTCAAAATCGCATGAAGTGTGCGTGCAATTTCAACTGATTTATGGTCACTCGTGAAGGTTTAAAAATTTTTCAAATGGTCCATACAACCGTCTCGGGCAATGATGAAAAACAGCGCTCATGTCCATAGATCGTGAATCCACAGGTAGTGGACGCAATTTTGTACACTAATCTCACTGCCAGTCGATTGGGAACTAAGGCGCACCCGTACCTTCACTGATCCACGAGCAAGTTGGGAAAAAGTGTCTTGTTTTCAGTGTCAGAGGAAGAGGGTTAAACTCTTCCTTATCTGGTCTCTTAATTCCCTTGCCTTTGAGTATCACAACTGCCGCCCTTTTGATATGTTGCGCTAGTCGTTTGAATTAAACGTTTTCTTGGCCCAATATAATTTTAAATAAACTACCTCGGAACTTTTCGTTTTGTCTGAAGACCGAAGTTCGTTGAACGCAAGTCAAAGAGCTTTCAGGCCGGCTAGCCAGCACAGCATGAGTTCATTTATTGTTTTTAGGCATCTCTTGTTTGTTCACGTAACTTCCAATTCGCTGAAAAAGAGACCTGGTTCTCGGCCAAGTTGCTGTTTGGGTACAGCAAGATTTTAATGGTGTCATAGACTGAAGACAACTCAGTTCTAATCTGCTCCTTCAATCAAGTTCATTGTTATCTTCCATTCTGATTGTTCATTGCAGCTTAGTCTATTTTTACATTTGTTTCCTGGCAGTCTATAAATAGCCGAAAATTCAGGTTTGCACCAGTTTGCACCAAACTGAAGATGGCTGTTTCAGTCATGCTGAAACATGTCTTTAAAAATTGCCTCGTGCTTTTCTAATGACTAGTTACTAAACAGCAAGGAATTAATTAACCTTGGTGTATTTGGAAACTTATTCGAAAGCATTTTGGGCCATTTAAACCTTGTCTCGAGAAATTCTGTAGAGGTATCGTAGAACACAAGGCGGCAGCTAAAAAGAAAGAGAATAATGCGTTACTCGTCTTCGCGTGACTACCTCCAAATTTGGGTATCTATTAACCGCTGAAAATTTGTCTGGGCTTAGTGATCCGTGGGCGACTCTATGAGCACTTATTATGTTGACGAAAACTTCCCATTCGCTTCATTGGGTTACGAACTAGGCATTTTTGTTAGAGATTTTCGTTCTGTGGTAAAACGAAGATAATTTCACGTCTTATTCGAGCGACAGTGAAGTTCAGCCATCGAATTCGCTAGGTCTCCCTCGACAACGGCAGTTAAATGAACCGTCGAAATTGACATTATTGACGATGCAGATATTGGGACCCTTTTTATTCTGAGCTTAATTCGTCAATTGCTCGCTGTAATTGCTGCTTCGTCCCACTGGATTAGCTGAAAAAACACTATACAGCACCGCGAGCGGATCTTTCGTCTTTGACGTAAGACTGGTTCTACATTGTCTGAATATCAAGACCCATGTGAGTTCACCTCTCGACAGATATTATTGAGAGAAGTCCGTCACTTAGATTGGTTTTTGTGGCAGACCAGTATTGCGCCGTTAGCGGGGTTTATATATCACCGATTAGTCTAAGATGTATTCGTTGAACACCGAACTGAACCATTCTCCGAGGCTGAGCCCTTCTTCGAGCGAATCTTCGCTGGGTGGATCGCCTTCGCCCAACGCGAACACGAAGGCACTTGCGGATATGGGCGAAAAAACAATGGCTGAATTACAACAAGAGAACGTTCGACTGAGGAAAGAAATTGATGCCAAGGAAACAAAATTAAACTCCAGTATGAGAAGTATTAAAATGTTTTGGAGTCCAGAACTGAAAAAAGAGAGAGCAGCGAGGAAAGCCGAAGAAGATAAATATTCTCGACTAAGGGAGCAGCTAAATGTTGTTTCTGAAGAATCACAGGTAAGGTCTTGATTTGGGTGCGTTATTTTCTTTTGGGATTTGGGATTAAGTAACAAAGGCAATCTGTTATTATGGGATAAACCGAAAATTATAAAACGTGTGCCTATTTGTTTAAAACGGAAGTGACTCGCGGGGAAATCAAGTGAAAATTTTAGCCCCGATCGATTATAATTATAAACCCACGTTCTTTCAACTCGGCTTGTTGAGCGAATCGGAGATATTGCGCCCCAACACTGATTGATTTATAGGTACTCCAATTCTCAGCCTGACTTAAGATTACCATTTTGCAACGGTGTCGAAAAGGCATAGACCACTTAGACTGCTGTGCATTATTTAAACGTTTTATTGAAAATCTTTACAAACAATCGGCACAAGCTCTAAGCGTTTCGCTCTTTCCGACAACTGTATTAAAGCAGCAGAAGCGTGTTGGGTATTGTTGTTCCAAGGTGGAATTATTGTGTTTAGAACAATAAATGGTCATTAGAGGTGTAGTTTACTATCTCGAAGCTTTCCTTGAATTTATACATCTATACATGGGGAAACACCGCTGCAATTCGCTTTAAGCTATACCGCAAGGTTAGTGAAACAAATTATTTAGTACGTGATTCGTGAATGGAAAGAAATTTTAATAGAGCTTGATTTCTTCTCGCTTTTGATAAATTATCGTTAAGCTTCCCTGACATGTAACCAATGCAGTTTCAGTGTTAAATACGTGTGATGACTAATTTTTGAGAAGAATGCATGAAATACTCAACGATTACGACGTTTTGTCACTTTTATTAATTTAAATAATAATTTTTTTGAAAGCCAAACTTGACCCCTTTTCTCAAGATCAGTTTACAACAAAAACAGATTTAGGAGATTGATTTGACTTAGAGTAGCTATTAGATCTATCGTTCTGTTTTTGACTGACTTTAATCAGTTGCCTTAACAGAATTAGCAATTCAAAGGTAATACGGTTACTTACGAATACACCAATGATTAAGATCATGAATAATTGAACTGTGTTTCGATAAAAAGTGCATTTGTTGACCAGTGCCAATTTATCTTCTGAGCAGCATCTTGTTACCGTCAGGTAGAATTAATTTCGTTGGAACCATTCTTGCTTTTTCATGTGATAATTTACAAGTAAGTTATGAGATACCAAAAGTCTGAGGATTTAAATCTAAAGATCTTTTTTTTTTTTCATCAAACAACTCTTTGGTTCTTGTTATTCTACCCTTCCTTTAAATCAAACCAGTCATTTCTTCTTTTGACTCCTAATTATGGAGGTTGAAGGCTCTCATGATGATGCAAATCTCTTGTGCAGAGAAACACTTTACAGATGCACAGAAGTAAGCTCAAAACTTGAAAATGTTATTGGTATTATAATTTCTTTCTCCTACAATCTTCTTATTATTGGCATTACTGACATTGGTTACAAGTGATAGCATCCAATTTGCAAAAGTGCAACTGCCAAATTATCTGATTTGGTGCCAGTAACTCCTCATTTCTCTCTCATTAATGGATATTTCAGCACGCAGTTTATATAGGGGTGAGAAAGTGACAGTGTAAAAAGTGTAATAAAGAAGCACAGCACAGTGTTGAGGGAACTTATTAGCTTTCCACTGACGGTGGTGTGATCTTGACAGAATATCACTTGTGGGTTGGGTTTGAGAAAGTGACAGTGTAAAAAGTGTAATAAAGAAGTACAACATAGTTTTGAGGGAGCTTATTAACTTTCCACTGCTATGACATTGGTGTGATCCTGACTGGATATCGCTTATGGGTTGAGTTTCATCCTTATTCCGATTTATACCAGTTTCTTCCTTCTACAAAAATGAATGTTTCTGATTCTCACCCAACCTGGAGACAGAGGAATAAGAACTATCTTTTGGGTGAGCTACTACTGAATCCAATCAATCATTTGAGTAATATTCTCTAATAGAATGTCCTCACAGAAATTTGAACATTTTTAAATTTATTTAAGGGAACTGAAGTGGCTTAATATAGTAATAAGATAAAATGCCCTATGAAGCATTGTATCATATGTGTTAAGTTTGTGTTTTGTCTTCTGTTTGCTCTGAGGATTTTTCTCAGCATTCTTTGGTTTTTCATCCCCTCACATGGAGAAATAATTATTCATATGGAAGGGAGAAGGAAAAGTCACTCAGACAGTTGACATGTACCAGTACATGCCAATTTTAATTACTGGTAAATTCAATTAAGTATATTTTTAACTGTTGAACTTGAGAGGCCTGTGCCATATAATGGCAGTATTGTGAATGTCATGCTCTTATAGACATGCCCAATATAGTTAACAGAGCTTTCTCTTTGCCCCATGTATTCCATATTTCTTTCATTTTGCTTGATGTTTCAGTAGCAAGAATAGGATGGTTCCTGTCCTTTTTCTCATTTTCCACCTTTATACATCAAAGACTTTTGTCTTCTGTCAGTTATCTCCTGTCAGCTGTCTTTTAATGTACTTCAGGTCCCCCTAATGTTTGTTGATTTGGCCCTTGTACACTGTGCCCCTTGTACACTGTGCCCCTCATATGTGAGTGGGATTATTTTCAATTTTCCAAACCACCCTGGTACTGATGGCAGCCCATTATTCACATTCTTGTTCCTTCTTGGTGTACCTGTAAGGTATTCTTTTTCTCTTACTCTCTCTCCATCTATTAGGTTTTGTTTTATCAGTTAGGAATATCTTAATTAGTTCTTCCTCTCCTTCTTTTCTTGTCTGTCACCAGCTTGGTTACCCTCTGATGATAACATTACTAATAACTTACAACAACTTTTTTTTTATTTATCCCTTTCCCTTCCAAGGACGTACATATACATCCTATGTAAAATGTCATCTATGTCCTGAAATAAAAACATTACCGGGAGTCTGGTTGTTTGTAATGGATTAAATAAATTATCCCGGTTGTTGAGAAAAATTCAGTATGGCTGCTGGTTGGAAAAGGCATCTGGCTGTGGTAGAGAAGCGGTCAAGGGTAACACACAACAGTAATTCAACTTGTGGTCCTTGAGAGGAGTGAGATTGACAGGTTGGCTTTCACCTAGGTGGTGGTCTGAAAGTGGTCAGCAGCATAAGGTTTTCTTTACGTTTTTCTTTATGTAGGAGCTTTTATACAATAACTGCACTACTTTGCTTTTTCCTGCTTTTGTACTTTTATCTCAGTTTTTGGGTTTAAAAAAAAGTGTTGTTGTGTTTCCTCTTAAATCTTTTATGTGACTAGGTTTATGGATGCATTTTGTGATCCTCAAATGAGTACTTGACTCTGAGATATAATTATCTTTGCTCTAAATGCAGAAGTACCTCATGAAAGCTTCAAATATAATTTCGTCAGGACTAACATCTCTAAAGGAAAACATTTTAAAGAGACAGCCATTTTGAATTTTTGTTAAGGCTCTTCTCAGATAAGTTCCCTTTGAAAAGGGCACCTCTTCTCAGCCAAAATTCAAAAGAAAGGGTCCCACCTTAAGGTGGCTCGTATCAGTTTTCTCGCACGGGGAACAGATCACTCTAGTGTCAAGGTTGAGAGAAACGTGCGAAAGAAGCACGAGATTAAAAGACAAAAATATAAAACAAAGATGGCAGTGCGAGGATTTTTTTCTACTTATGTGAAAAGTTTACCTAAGAGCTTGTATTTGATGTGTTGAGCGGCCACTGTGAATGCAGGAGAATAGAAACTAAGATAACAAAGACGATTTTCGGAGAAGTAAAGGTTGCTTCACTTCACATTTAAAAGAAATATTTAACCGATATTAAAATCTTGCGATGGCGAAAAAAGAAGAACTCAAGTAAAGGTTAATCTACCTGAAGTGGAAGAAGACTTTGAAACTTAAAGGAAAATAATATGATATAGCCAGAAGTCGTGTGTAGGATTTTTAAGATGAGCCCAGGAGGCTGTCTTTGACAGCTGTTTAATGATTTTCTTAGCAGTAAACGTCTGTAAACATCAGATTGTAGGGACGCACGCGAGCACACACAATTGTCAGCGGTAGCTATAACAGATCATGAGCAAATGTCGATCTTATAGAATCCAGATTTTTAAATGCGCGAGAACTCACGTGGAAATTGCTAAACTCATGAAAGACATTGCATGAAAACAAGTCCAGTAACCCCTTCTTTTTATTGTTCCAATATGATAATAACATCGAAAGGAATCATCAGAAAAAAAAACTAGAAAATTCTATGGAAGGAAATTTGGGATGTGTGAAAATTGCCTTTTTTGTAGATTTTCTGAAATTCCGCTCCGTAGAATTTTTTTTAAATCTTTGTGCATTTTCCTTTTTAAGTGCCAAAAGCAATTACTTAAAAAAAATCACAGGGGTCACCTAGTTAGTTTTCGAATTATTTAAGCCACAAGCTAAAAAATGCTTCTGAATAAGCCTATGAAAGCGTTACCATGGAAACTGCTAGTGACGAAATGACACCTATTTTTGGATAACCAATGATTATATAATTCAACCCCGTAAAAGTGTTCAACTGGCCTTGGTCAGCTTTTCTGTAGTATTCTTTCAAAGTTACAAACCATCAAAAAGATAAAAACCGGTACGAGCCATCTTAAATGAGCACCTCTGATCTGCCTCTGACCTGCTTCTGATTAAAAGGTGTTTCACTGAAAATTACAGTACAACTCAGATATGCTTTAACCAAAAATGCACTTGTATAACCATGCAAAATTTGCACATAAGGAGGGATATCGACTGAATAAAAATAGGAGTCTCTGAATTTTGTGTACATGCACAGAAAGCTGACTCCTCTGCCTCGTCAGTACATCTATTCTAAAGAATAAGCCAATAGCAATAAAATACTACACGGTTACCAGGAGTGATTAGTACTGTAATTGCCTCTTTTGATTAAGTAGTCGAGATTATCTTTTCCTTGATTTGAAATGAATAAAGGGTTATTTAAGGATTTATGGTATTCATAAAACAAACATTTAACTTTTTTAGTCTAACAGGATTTAAAATTGCATTTATTTACTTGCTTTTCAGAAAAAAGCAGAAACAATTCGAGATCTGCAGGAACGGTTACAGCAACAGCAAGAACAAACAGATCGCCTTTCAACTGGTCGGCGATCCCTCTCTTCTTCATCACATTCTGTACATTCACAGGATGGAATTCAGCGCGAGTTAGAACTTTTAAGGGGTGAAAAAGATCGACAGGATAATGAGACATTTATACTCCAGAGATCATTGGAAGAATTGAGCTCCAGACTTGAAGCTCAACAGCAAGCTATACAGGCTAAGGATGAAACTATAACTCAGTTAATGGAAATGATCCAAAGCAATAAAGGACTTGAATCCAAGCAACTCGAGATGCATAAAGAACAGCACAATGCTGACAAAAAGAAGCTTGCAGAAGCTCTCAATCAACTTGTTAAACTACGAGAAGAAATTGATGAAAGGGATAGAGCAATTACATCCTTGCGAGAGGTAATAATGCTTCAAATGCTTTTTAATATGAATTGTTATTTTACTGATCCTCTCTTTGTCATTGCCATGCCGTGACTCTGTTATGTAACATGATCAAACTATTACACTTACACTCTGATTCTTTGAAATTCTGAGGTTGTGGTGTTGTAAGACAATTTTCCTTCGGGGATCATATTGTGAGTTTTTATAACCTGTCTGCTTGACAGCATACTAAAATTGTAAAGATTAAGTTGTTAATTACTGAAACTCAAAGAATAAAGAAATGTCACTCTTACCACTGCCCAGTTGGGGAAGTTGTAAAAAAATTTGTTGTGATGGAAGTCAATCAACCTTAGACATAGTTGCCATCATGATGATGATATTGGCTCTACAACTGAGAAATAACTCATCACTTGCCTCTGAAAATGACAAAGTGCTGACTGATTACTGCCATTTGAGACAGTCATGTCCTATCATGGATCTTCCCCTTTCTCATTCCCCTCATACTCTCTATGGTGGCTAATTTACAGTGACTCAGTTGCTTAAACCAAATTTAACTAAATTTAACCTTGAATATCCCCATTGACACAGCACTACAGTTTTATCCCCTTTATCCTTTCCCTGTAAATGTAAATCTTCAGCAAAATTAGATGTGGTTCCTTTTTTAATGTACAAGTATCTTACATCTGCACTGTATAATCTATACAATGTAACATGTCTTGTGGTTACTACATGTATTAATTTGCCAGAGCATAATTATGTTTCACTGATGTACCATGTTTCTTGGTGTATATTCATTTGCATCAAAGATCAGAGAATTCTCCCATTGTTTCTCTAAATTTTTCCAGCTAGATTTTGATGTCCTAGGCAATTATTTTCAGCCTTGGAGAAGTTTTCTGCCATCTGTCAGGGTTTGTACATGTCGTGGAAAACCTGGGAAGTCATGGAATTTCAAAATTTCATTTTCCAGGCCTGGAAAGTCATGAAATTTAGGTGTGGGTCATGGAAAGTCATGGAAAATCAATATGCTTTCTATGAGTGAAAGGCAATAAGACCCAAAGTTGAAAAGTTAACTGACAAGTCCAAAAATCAGATTTAATTTCATTAGAAATAAACAGAAGCACACATTGTGAGAATGTTTGCAAACAGGTCAAAGACATGGAATCTTTCAAAAGGTCATGGAAAAAGTCATGGAAAGTCATGGAATTTTAAAAGGTCAAAAGTGTAGGAACCCTGTCTATTTACACCTTCCTGCTATTAGATTGGTTAATGAACACCCTGTACATGAAGATCATGTACATGTCTACAAAACACTTAAGATACTACAAATGCTCTGATTGACTACACCTTTGACTTATTACTGGTGAATTCTTAGCTATTTTACAGATATAGTGTTATTTTCAACACTATGTTTGTTCACTGTTTGTTTCCAGTTTGTTTGTTAGGGCCCAGATGAATAAATACATTGTGTAAATCTGGTTCACCCTTGTCAAATAAATTCTTTTATTATTATTTTTTCCTATTAGGTAATAACCCACTTGGGATGTTGGAAAAACACTTGCTCATGAAATTCATTAATATTTAAATCATCCAATATGTAACCATGTCAGTAACCAATGCAATGCAGTATTTAGTGATGAAGCTCTTACCATTTTTGCTTTGTTTACTTGCAGGAAATTGATAATGTTAAAATCAACAATGTAAATGATGAACTAAAACAATCTGCAAACCTGTTGGCTAAGGTATTTAAGATTTTGATGTAAACTAAAAGTAAATGTGGGAGGGCAATCACTGTTAGAAGGTTTACCAGTGTTACTATCTTTTAATTCCCCTTCTCCCAGAAATTGCCCTGCAAAGTTGCAACTTTGCAGCAGTAACTGTACATCCTCTTCTAAGAAAATTCCTAAAAAGTTATATTTTTAAATCACTTTAAAGTTTAAATGCAAAATTGTTTGTTTGTTTACTTGTTTTGATAGTTTTGTACAGTCATGTACATGTAGGTTATTATCTTGGAGTTTTAAAAGTTTAGGCAACTGTGAGCTTTCACTATAATTACGTACTAGGTATAAATGCAAGAAATTTTTGTATTGGCAGGGCCCCTCTGGGTACCCTGAACAAATAAAGTTGTCTTATTTATCTAATTTTTAAAGGAGCTGTGGTAATATTTGAGTCACTTTGAGTGTCCCAGAAAGCAGGGCTTAGAGTTTGTTGTCTCAAAACCAAAAGTTTGAATCAGAAACCTTAAATGTTTGAGAAATGATAGTTTCAGCATGAGAACATAAGATTGGATTTGTGTGCTTAAAGTCTCATGCTCAATGCATGACACTTGAGAGCTGTGCTTTCTAAAATGCTGACCATAATTATGACTTGACTTTGAAAAAACCATTAGTGAGGCTCTTGGGACGTAAAACACAGCGATAAAAAACTTTCGGTATGCTCCATGAACACCAAAAATAAGTCTCCAATTCAGCACCTTCTTCTGAAATTTAATATGTTAAATGTTTTATACTATTCCCCATGCTGAACTAATTGTTCATAGCTCAAGGACAGTGTATACACAAGTAATTGCATTTTGTTGAAAATCTTCTTTCAAACACACAAAAAAGACAACTATAAGCTCACCAACTTTGTTTTCTTTAGATGAAAACACTTAAGAGTAATCTTTTTCTGTCTCATGCAGATGCACTCATGAACACACAATACAGCTGTATATAAATGCAATCATTTTCAGTTAATTGCAATGTAACTTAATACCTAAGCTTCCTGTTGGTTAGTCTTTTATCATGATCTCAAATTCAGGTTTTCAAAGGTCGAAAAGTATTTTTTTACAAGGAAAGGAGTGTTAAAACATATTGTGGTACCCCTATACACTTGTATCACACACTTTCAAATATGTCATGGTATTTTACTTTATTCCTGTTATGATTGAATGGGCATTTAGACGTTATATTGTAAAAGGAGAGGTTCATCAAACATGCATTTTGTTATGTTAGCCCTTTCCAAAACAAATACATTACAAACTAAAACAAGTACAGTTTGCAAGAAATTAAGAGTGACCTTTTCTTTCAAAATTAACTGAGACTACTTATTAAACAATGACAATATGACAGGCAGTCATGCAGTGTAAACATGACTTACTCCCTTATTCACTGACTAAGTGCAATGTGTAGTAGATGATTTTTTAAATGAACATCAATGTTTTTAATATTTATCAGCCATGTGATTATACTGGTGACATGAACCAATTCAACTATACTTGTCTTCTTTACAAGTCTAAAGTGTTTTTCTTAAAACAATTTGTCACTCTCAATATTGAGGAGGTCACGTCCCTGATATTGTGGTCATTTCACTGTTCTTTTAGGATAGCCATATTGCCGCACTGGAGACACAAATAAGCCAGCTGGAAGCAGAGGTTTGTACTCTTTGAATACCACAATTGATAAAGTGAAAACTGTCTTAAAAGCTGTAATCTGCAAGAAGTGAATATTTCAAGTTGTTTCAAGGTTACTTTTTATATTCTGTGTAAAACAACTTAATTTGTACCTTTAAATTTGGTCTATATAAGTTTTGATTTACAAAGTGATCAATTAATATGTAACTTTACCCTGTTTACCTGATATCAGATAAAATGCAGTCAACAATCTTTGGGATTTGAGCAATCAATATTGATAAACATATTAGTTTTTTTTTTTTTCAGTTTGAATTAGTGTTCAGTTCTATTTCACACTGAGCATTTGACATTCTCTTGTTGTGAACAATACATGTACACTAACTGCTTGCAATCATCACGTCCTACTGTCAGATGGAAAATCTGAAGGAGAATGCTATAGAAGATGAAAAGAAGAGATTAGAAGATAGGAAGCACTCTGAAGTTTACGAAAGCCACTCAAAATTCATGAAGACCAAGGTAAGTACATTTAGCAGAAGGTACTCATGAGTATGGTTATTGATCTGTCTCTGTCACTGTACCTGTATGTACCATGTTATTTAACATTGAGTGCTCTTTAGAAGAGAATGTGTTTATTTTCTCTCCACATTGTCATTTTTGGTCTTGAGCACCTTTTTGTGGCACAAAGTTAGTTTCTTTGTCTTAAAATGAACTATTTTTTCCAAGTCATTTTCACCTGTATGCATGTAAAAGTACATGTCAGGCCATATTTGTAGACTAAAAAGTTTTAGATTTAAAATTGATAGGCAAAAAGTTTCAAAAAGGTTCTGTTATGCCCTCATGGGTTTAAATTGAGAGCTAGTTCAGAAACTTCTGGAAAAATGAAGCATAACACATACCTTTTATTTACATTTGATGAATTTGAATAAAATCCAGTGGCCAATACCCATGTGATTTTACGTCACCTAAAAAAAATGTTGGCTTTATTCTGGGGGTGTATGTGACTGATGTGCTGTTGTTGTTGTTTTTATACATATGTATTTTTTTCATGTCATAAGATTGAATCACTTAAAGTGGATCTAAGTAAGAAAAATGCAGAATTAGTGGCAGCAGAAACCAAACTGGAGACACTAAAAGCTCATCAGGCTAATCAACAAGAACATATTTCTGTGTTGCAAACCTCTTTGTCAGCCAAAGAACATCACATCAAGAATCTCCAGAGTGAGGTGAGTGATGTATTTTATTTGAGTATTTGTTTGTTCTAATATTATTTTGATTACTGGTAATATTTATATCGATGCTCATGCACTTCAGAAAAGTCATATGTTCAATTTCAATGATATTATTTTGTATTAGTTCAACCTTTATCAATATAGAGTGGCGAGTTTCCTTTGTTACCATGTCCAAAGTTTGTGTTTTCAAGAAGTTATTTTTACAAGGAGCCCTATCTGTGTACATGATGTGAATCTACTAGATTAAGTGCCCTTAGGTAAACAAATAGGAAAATTTTGTTTTCATAATTTACGGATTATAGAATTGTGAAAAAATTACCAGTAGAAGAGGATGGCTTTGTTTCCACTTTGACTCAGGTCAATATGTTTTGTTATATACCAAGACTTTCGCTAAACAAAACGAGCATTGTGATTGGTTGATTGTTGGTCACGTGCCCTTAATCAAATTCAAGTGCATCCCGACAAGGATACAATTGCGCAGTTGTTGCCCGTGCGTCGAATCATAGTTAGGTGGTCGAATACAACGACTTGTTTTTGCCATACGAGTCTAAACGTATAACAAAGCACGTAATGTATGGTCCTTCAGGAAACATCAGGACTCTCGGGAAAACAAACTAACTGTTTCCCTCGGGACCATGTATTAAGGTGGCTAGTACCAGTTTTCATCTTTTGGATGGTTTGTAACTTTGAAAGAATCCAAAAAAAAGACTGACCAAGGCCATTTGAACACTATTACGGGGTTGAATTATATAATAATTGGTTATCCAAAATTGGTGTCATTTCTCCAAGGGTTATTCAGACCCCTCCGAAAAAGAAAAGAACCTTTTTGACTGATGAGGCTCGAAGAGCGAAATATATTTCAAGATTCTTAAAGCCACTGTTAGTTTATTTTTACAGCTTCTATACGTGCGTCGAATGTGATACTCGAGACGTGATGTCTTATTCTGCAAGTAGTTCAAATTATTCAAACGCATTCCAGCCTCGGCGACCACTATTTCTTTAAGTTTTACGGGGCGGAATTTCAGAAAATTTAGAAAGAGACCATGTTAACGCAGTGCAAAATTTCCTTCCGTAGAATTTACTAGGATTTTTTTTGACGATTCTTTACACTGATAATATTATATTGGAACGATAAAAAGAAGGGGTCACCGTACTTGTTTTTATGCAATAGCCTCCGTGAGTTTAGCAGTTCACACGCGCGTTCTCGCGCATTTAAAAATCCGGATTCTATAAGATCGACAGTTACTTATGATCTGTTAAAGCTACCACTGACTATCGAGTGTGTTCGCGCGAGCACCTACCATCTGATATCTAGTGACGATTACTGCTCAGAAAATCGTTCAGTAGCCGTCAAAGACAACCTCCCGGGCTCACCTAAAAGGACTAACTCGCAGGTTCACAGTCTTTTCCTTCTTCAGGCAGATTTTATTTCACTTGGGTTCTCACTGTTTTTTGCTGTCGCAAGATTTTATTTCGATTAGATTTTTCGTTTGGATGCGAAGCAGCCTTTATGCCGCCGAGAATCGTCTTCTTTATCTTCGTTTCTGTCACCTGCATACGCGGTGGCCGTTGAATACATTAAATACACGCTGGTAGGCAAACTCCTTACAAAATAATACAAAAGTAGCTTAGGCCGAAAAAAAGCCTCGTGCCGCTATATTTGTTTTGAATTTTCGCTTCTTTCGCGCATTTCTCTCGCGCGTGACACACAAGAGTGACCTGCTCCCTGCGCGAGGAAACTAGTGCTAGCCACCTTAAGTGTATAGTGTTCTTGGGTGAGACACATGACACTCACACTCAACTCTTTCAACTTTGGAGTAGTAACAAGTACAAGGGATTTGTGAGAGAAACCTGATAGAACAGTGAGGGGTTGGGAGGGGGCGCGGTGATGGGCTCGTAAGGGTTACCTGTGATGGACTAGCTTACCATCCAGGGAGAGTAAAGTATAGCAGTAGAGAAAAGCAAAGTCTAACGGTATTTCTAGTAGGCACTTGACTAAATTGCAGTGCTTCTGTTAAACACTTTCATACTGAATTTTTAAAAATCGATAAATGACTTGCTTGATTGACTGATGACAGCTGGAGTCTTTGCGTGGTCGGCTGGATGACAGAGAAGAGTTACTAAGAATGAAGGAGAAGAAACTGTTGTCAGTGTCCACAGAACATTCGGAGAATTACTACGCAGTAGAGAACCTCCAGAGTGTACTGAATACAAAAGAAAGACAAATAAACAGTCTCAAACAAAAAGTAAGGACTTAAGTTTTTATTTTTACAATCAGTCCTTAAAGTCTAATTATTTCATAAGTAATTCTTCCTCCTAACTGATATTTCCTTGTGAAATACACATATAGTCAATTGACTGGTATTTAAAACTGCAACAACTGAAATGTTACTTCTTAATAGTTGAACGAGGTCTTTTTTAACTGAATTTCACGTAAATTACTCCTACCAGGACGGGATATTAGCTTTGTTAGAGATTTACAGTTTTGGGGTAGACCCTCGTGAACTAGTGTCCAGCGCGGACCGTGTTATTTGACCTTTAACATCGGGAATGGAAAAATAAGACACTAATTTGAATAACTTCTGGAAAAAATCATCATAATGAAATGCCTCAGGACAACCCTGAACAAACTTGGACTGAAAACCCTGCGTTATTTTTGTTGTTACTGTTTGAAAGGAGGAACCATACTGACGGGATGCTTATATTTTTGTTTTGTTTTGAAAAGTGCGAGTGTCTCGAGAGAGATCTACGCGAGAAAGATTCCGCTATCGTTAGTATGAAATCTCATCTTTCTTCCGTGAAGGCTGAGTTTTCTGGTTCATCCACTACCATCACTAATTTGGAAGCGACCATCCGCGAGAAGGACAGGCGAATAGAAATACTACAGAGTCAACGGCAGCGCAGCGGCGCTGAAAACGAGGAGGAGGTGAACCGAGTCAAACGATCACAGGAAAAACTGGAAGCGAGAGTTGCATCTTTGAGAGAACAACTCGCAGAAAAAGACGTAAGTGTAGAGTCTACTTTTTTTTCAACTCCCCTGATCATTTTTCTCTTTCCTGCTGATGGAAGCGTATTAGTATTACCATTATTTTTTGTTTTGCTTGCACGTGACCAAAATATAGACATATCTTATTAGATGTTTTGTTGTGTGGCATCGCTGAGTATTTTTACGAGTCAAAATACCAACAACAAGTAAAAATACTCAGCGATACTACACAACAAAACGTCTAATAAGAGATTTATTATCCAGCGCGCCAAATTGTTATTTCAGTGCGGGCGAATTGCGCGGATATTTCTGGAATAAAAATATCGCGTGATATTTGTACTCGTCTCGCGCGTTATTTGTACTCCACGAAGCACAGTTGGTAATAGAAAGTTTAATTAAGGTGGCTCGTACTAGTTTCCTCGCGCAGGAACAGACAACTCTTGCGTCACGCCCGAGAGAAACGTGCGAAAGAAGCGCGAGATTAAAAGACGAAAATTTAAAACAAAGATGGCGGCGCGAGGATGTTTTTCTACTTTTGTGAGAAGTTCACCTAAGAGTGTGTATTTGATGTGTTGAGCGGCCACTGTAAATGCAAGAGATTGAAACTAAGATAAAAAGACGATTTTCGGAGAAGTAAAGGTTGCTTTACTTCACATCTAAAAGAAATAATCAACCGATATGAAATCTTACGACGGCGAAAAAAGAAGAACTCAAGTGAAGGATAATCTACCTGAAGTGGAAGAAGACTTTGAAACTTAAAGGAAAATAATATGATATAGCCAGAAGTCGTGTGTAGGATTTTTAAGATGAGCTCGGAAGGTTGTCTTTGACAGCTGCTTAATGATTTGCTTAGCAGTAAACGTCTGTAAACATCAGATCGTAGGCGCTCGCGCGAGCACACGCAATTATCAGCGGTAGCTATAACAGATCATGAGCAAATGTCGATCTTATAGAATTATTAAATGCGCGAGAACGCGCGTTGAAATTGCTAAACGCATGAAAACAAGTCCAGTGAATCCTTCTTTTTATTGTTCCAATATGATAATAACGTCGAAAGGAATCATCAGAAAAAAAAAACTAGAAAATTCTACGGAAGGAAATTTGCGATGTGTGAAAATTGCCTTTTTTGTAGATTTTCTGAAATTCCGCACCGTATAATTTTTTAAAAATCTTTGTGCATTTTCCTTTTCAAGTGCCAAAAGCAATCACTGAAAAAAATCAGGGGGTCACCGGGTTAGTTTTCGAATGATTTAAGCCACAAGCTAAAAAATGCGTCTGAATAAGCCTATGAAAGCGTTACCATGGAAACTGCTGGTGATGAAATGACACCTATTTTTGGATAACCAATGATTATATAATTCAACCCCGTAAAAGTGTTCAACTGGCCTTGGTCAGTCTCTCTGTTGTATTCTTTCAAAGTTACAAACCATCAAAAAGATGAAAACCGGTACGAGCCACCTTAAGTACTACCATTACAACCAACAAGGAGCATCGTTAACACACGTGAATGGTCGAACACTGAGATCATCAACTCGCTGACAGTTATGCAGCCCACCTATTAAATCCAATTCCTATATATGGTGGACGCGCTTTTTCAGTATCTGCACCGAAACTATGGAACTCAATTCCCGAATATATTAAAAGAGCGGAAACAGTAGAAACATTCAACACTAAGCTTAAGACATTTTTGTTTAAAAAACATTACTGTTAATTAATTACTTATTCTTATGTCTTAATAATCTTTTGATAGGCGCATTGAGATTAGAAATGCGCCCTATAAGCATCTACTTTATTGTTATTATTATTATAAAACGCGGGTGACCAAGTCGCGAGGTCTGTATCTGATTGGTTGAAAATGTGGTGCTAGTTACAGAGCGCTGTGAAGCAAACGAAAGCATTCTCAGATTACTTTTTACGCTTATTCGAAAGTTGCCCAGTTTTTACGTTTTCTGATTATTTCAGAAACAATTGCGGAAGTTTATTTGTTTGTTGCATTCAATAACCAATTATATGTCAACGCATTCTCGTTTTATCTTTTGTAGGAGGATGTTGCTAGCTTAGAGAAACAGATTTCGTCCTTGAAGACATCGTTACAAGAAAAAAACACCAAACTGTTATCCTCTCAAGAAAGAATTAAACTTTTGGAAGAGAAGATAGACGAGGTTTGTTTGATATTCGAAAGTTGCCTTGTCTGTTGTAAGGCTATTCGGGAAAAACCATTTATTGATAAGGGCCGTGAAGTGTTTTACAAAACAATTAAACTCCATTATCGAGATATCCAAATGTTGATGCCACACTTATGTATAATTTTATGCATTATCCCTTTGTTCGAATTCTGAATGTTCCTTCTTGACTGACAACTATGCGTTTTCGCCCACGCCATTTCCAGATAAACTGTTTTTTTCCTTTGGAATAAAAGAAAGTGTTTGTATTTAAAGAAGATCAGCTGATGCTAATTCACTCTACAAAATGGCCGAGTTTTCTTCTGTTAGTACGCCAACATGGCGGTCTTTACGTCGTGCGCAAACCTTTTTTCCAATAAGATACTGAGTCTTAATTCTTTGACCATAACTGGGTCGAGTAACTCATATAGTCAATTGTTCATTAATTCAATCATTTTTCTAATCAATATCAGTAACTCAATACCTCAATAATTTTACTATGAAGTCATTCATTCACAACTTGCAGAGCGTTTGCTAAGGTTGAGGTCACTCACTCAAACAAAAATAAAATTTGGAGGGCTTTTTTGTATGGCATACACAACAGTTTCCTGAACAAAATAACCGATGTAAATCTATAAACGAAACTCTTTCGCACTAATTATTTTTCAGCCAGCGACCTTGTAGGAAATGGACATAGCATGTAATTCTTCAATTCTTACTCTAACAGTCCCTGCGCGCGTTTATTTCATCGTCAACGTAATCATTATCCTCATTAATTCTTCCTTTGGCCCTTTTAATGATAATGATTATAAAATTAAATCTCCAGAAAATCAGCAAAACAGATCAAGTGACGTCGGATCTGAGTAGTAGAAAACTTGAAATCTCCATACTGGAAAAAGATCTCAGAAAACAACAGATAGAACTCAAGAGCAGAGAAAGCAAAATGAAGAAACTACAAGAAGAACTGAAAGAACAGAGCGCAAAAGTGAAGGAGTTGTCGGATGATTGTGAAGTTAAAGATCTTAAAATAAATGATTTGGAAAAGTAAGTTAGTGGAATAATTTAAAAAGTCCTCTCGCTCTTTTCTCTATGTCCCTTCTTTCAAACATACGGATCTTTGGTTTGTGGAATAACAATTTTAATCCAGTCGAGACATTCAAACGCTTGTATTTACCGATAGCTCTTTCCTCTGCATATGGAAATTTTGTTTATGTTTTTTTTCTTTCTCTCTTCAGGCAGCTTAAAGAACAGAGCAAGAAGTTGGTCGGTGTGAAGAGAAATCAGCAGCTTGAAAGAGAGAAACAAGCCCAGCTGTTGAATGAGGTCAAGAAACAAGAAGATCAGAAAGGCGAGACAGCTGAATTCTTCCAGGTAATAGGTGTATCTGTCCGGCGGGGTGGTCGAATCAGTTATATGCCGCCGGAGAGGGTATGGTTTTCGGGTCTCGATTCTTGAATAGGCAGTACAATTTTACTGCCTAGTGTTTCTAACAGGGTTGCTTAGTAAACCAGAGGTTATGAACAGTGAATTAACGTTTCCACTCCGGTAGAAATGACAAAACCCCATTTTCATAAAGGCATAAAACTTGATCCACGCTTCTTGGCGTATAACTTTAAACTGATAACTGTTCCACAGGGCGAGCTGCAGAAAAAGGATGAGCGAATTGCGGTCTTGGAAGAAGCCCTCACTGAAAGCGTGTCCATTGCTGCTGAACGCGAAGAATTACTGGCTCAGCAAGCTCAGAACGCCGAGACAGCGGCACATCGTGTGGAAGACATGGAGTCGGAAGTGGAAAGAGTTCGGATAGAGACTGCTGTAACGAACACGAAGAATGCTTCCTTGGTTCTAGCTTTGAACGAGAATGATATGATCCTGTCTTACTACAAAACTGAAAGGCATGGGATGATAGAACAGTTATTAGAAATGAGGTAATGGTGTTTTTTTTTCGTTTTTAGTTGTTTCGAAGGTCAAGGAGATAACAACTTCTAGGTAGTGAGGTTGTTTATTCTCACCACTTGTTTCTTATGAATGTGTTGTTGTTGTGAGGAGAAGTTACTTGTTTTGGAATTAAAAGGCTGAACGGCAGTTTAATTTAAATAGTGTGACATTACTTAACTGAGAATTCTGTTTCTCGTACTCTGCTGTTCGTACACAGAATCTTGTCTCTCGCCTATTAAAACGTCTCAGTATTGAAAAATGTTTACATTTTTATCGTACACTCTTGCTTATCGCCCTTTCCCTTCGTTCTATCTTCCTCCCCTCACTCTTTATTCTCAGGGGCTCTCACCACTTGTTTCCCACCCCCCCTTTTTTCGGTGTTACGCCCAACTAGTTGCCCAATTATTTAGATGTACGCATGGCATGTCGGTGTATCAGTAAAGGCCGGTCTCTGTTTAAAATCTTAAATACGTGTTGGGTTAGTTGTCGTCCAGTTGTTAGTGATCGAAAAAGAAGATTTAAGTAGACGGGGCATAAGTTCTCGGTCGCCCTGATCTTTATTCAAATTTGTCTTTTATTTGTCAAGTGCACTTGTAATGGCTCATCTATCTTTATCTATTTTTTGTAGGCAAAATGCTTTACTTGCCACCATCTCCGAGAAAGACGCTAACATCGCATTGCTAGAGTTATCTCCCACAACTGGAAGTGACGCCGAGGTACGCAAATTCAAAGCGGAAAAAGACAAATTGGTGAACGAGCTCAAAGAACAGGTACGAATCCACAATAACAGAGAGTATTGTTAGTCTAAAGCAGGGGATTAGTCCGTAGAGATAAGAGAGAGAAATAAGCGCATGTTCCACACGAGTTGTGCAATAAAAAGCCTTTTCGTATCAAGAGAGTATATGGTTCAAATATATTTGTAACATCGCAAGGATGTTCAGGAAATCATAAACATGCTTCTTATTCATATTGTACTCGCTTATGACGACAGAAAACAAATGCCTCGAGAAAGAAAAGGCAGTCTATGATGCATTTGCCTATTGTTACCGCAGTAAAAACCCAATGTGGTGTAAAATGCAGAGGGGTTAATGAACAGCTCTTGTCGACGTAAAATTTGAGACAAAAGAAGGACATGGGTAGAACAGAGTTTGCATACTAGTCAATGGACAGGCCGGGGTAGGGCAGGAAATTGATAGACCAGATATATGTATTAAATCGAATGTCTTTGAAACAAAACTTCTCCATTTCATACGCTTTGCGTACCTAACGCAATGGATAGACCTACTCGTCTAGAGTCGGAAGTAATGAGCTTTGAGCCCTGGCCAAGTCAACTTCCTTTTTGTCTTTCTTTGTCTTTTCTTTTCTTTTTCCTTCTTTTTCCTTTCAATTACCGTTATTCTTCAGAGTCCATGTTGGGTAATTACAAGCTAAAATGCACATGTGTTTAACGACGTAGCTTTTGCGTTCAAATCGATAACAAGTGGAAATGCAGAGGTGAGCTCGTGAACAGACTGAACAAACATCGAGTAAAGGCCGAAAAAAACATAAATGAATCCAAAGAAACCCGGTCAGATTCATTCAACGATGGACAGAGTCAGAGCTGAACCATATTACGCGAGTCCAGACGAGTCACAAAAAGAGAGTTCGAGTATCACGCGATATTTGGCCATTTTGAAAACCCTGAGAGGCGGGGAGGATTTACGGACTTTCACGACACCATAACATATTGCCTACGGCCTTCCTGGAAGGAAGGCACAGTTGGCTCAAAAAACTGTCACCGCAATTGCCTTCGGCATTTCACCCTCAAAAATAGGGGGAAACTTCAGACTCTCAAGAAGCTTCCAGTTGTAGGGGTAACGTGGCTCGAGTGAAGATTTCACTTTTATGAATCTTTATGCGATATGATAAGTAGTCTTTATTGCTTTAAAACGCCAAGGGCGTTGTCATGTTTACGAGCGGTTTGATATTTGTCCTCTTTTTTTTTTCAGACTCAAAAGCGAATGACGCTGTTGTCTAACGAAGAAAACAAAGAAATTTCTCTCTCCTCCGAACTTGCACAAGCCTCTACAGAAAAGGTGAGATGATCAGTTTGCTGACAGTCCGTGTACGAGAGATTTTCAGAGCACTGTTATTTCGACCGCAGGCCGACAGATTTGTTGTTAATCGAGTCATTTATCTAAAAGGGCGCGGCTTCGACCTTGCTATGGTTGAGAAATCAAAAATGGTGTTAGAATTGCATTCCGCTGGCTATGCTTGGTTCTTGTGTAGAGAGGGAAGCCCTTTCACTCACCAGAAACCTAGCATATTGAACCACTACTAAGTCACCTCTAAGTAGGCACGAAGTTATATTGCCAACCAAATGAAAACCTTTTTTTTAGCCCCTTTAATCTTACATCTCATCTTCGACGGACTCTCCCACTTGTTCCACCGTAGTTTCCTTCCGGTACGTCGAGCTGAATCGTGGTAATCTAGCCATCTGTTGTAAGTCTTCTTTCTAGGACAGGAGGAAGAGCCGCTTCCTTTCTGCTGTGTTGTTCTGGTTGTGCGTCGAGTGTTTGCCAACAAACAACTGTTTGTTTGTATGTTGCTTATTTGAGCTACTTCGTATTTTACCTAACAAGAAATTTTCCTGGATCAGGGGAGTAACTAATCTTTTTTATTGCAAACGTAGAACTCTCTACGTAGACTCTTTTGCGGAAGTCGTAGAAAAACGTACAAGACCGTTCAGCTTAAGTGAACGTTTATCTCTTTTCACCTCTAACGAGCTATGCAGCAACGAGCAGGCCTGTGAGAAACCAAGGATGTATTAATGCTGCTGAAAACGCGAATTAATTGATGGATGGGGGGAATGTACTAACGGAACAGTTGTAACTTCTATCATCACGTAATGTGTGCTAACAAGGATGGAAACTCGTTAGCAGAATCAGTCTACTGCTGCCGAATAACAGCTGTAAAGAATTTTTGTTAGCTGCGCTGTGTGTGGGAAATCTAGAGGTGACTCTTGAGAACACAATTAGCACCTATCGTATTCCAGAGATTTTCAAGTTAATCCTTAGGTAATCCTGTCTACTGATTTAATCAACCTCGCTCTTTGCATGATTCTTTTGTCGAACAGATGAGGTGTTTGGCTCTTTACTGTCTTTAAGTGACGCCGATCTCTCGTTCGCTCGTCAATTTGACGTAAACCGATAAAAGTTAAACAAGTGCTGTGATGAGATAAGACTCGTGCTATATCAAGGGGTCAAGAACTAGCCTCCGAGATTGTTCTGAGTGATTAATTATTTGTGGAAATAGTTGCTTCAAGAAAATTTTAGATATCTGATGTTGCGTCGAAAAGCAGTGTTTTGTTAATGACGTCACTTAAACCCGCTTAATCGGCAAAGTGGTTCTTTTAACACGTTCTTTTCCATGTTAATCTTCGTGTGAAGGTTTCCACACTGCCCAATTTAGAAACACGATGTATTGACAAAGCATTTATTTTTTCCTGGTAAAATTATGTTTGTCGTGCCATAATCAAGTTGCCATAGAAACTCTTTCAAGAATGCACTAATAGAACTTCCTGGGTATTGTTTCTGGCATGGTCGTCTAATCCAAATATGTGGGCATTTTCAACTTCACTGTTCCTTCTTCAGAAAGTGTGCTTTTGTTTGTTGTGGAGTTGTTACTTATCCACAATAAATAGATTTGTTTTCGTGCTTGAAGACTTATAGTGGGGGATTATAGATTTTTTCCACGTTTTAAGAAGGAGTTCTGTAGTAATTTTAGGTAATTAATAGATGAACAAACAGAACGTGAACAAACAGATCACAGAGATCGCTTGGTTATTGTAATTAACATTTTGTACTGAGTTTGTTCCTATTTCCAAGGAATTAACCTAAGAAGGTAGAATAGGCGAATGATTTGACACAACGGTTGCTGCTAATACTTGGAAAGTTGGCATTAGGAATATGGATAGGCCACAAGAAATTATAGCTAGAAAGTTACGAAAAGCTTCTACTGTATCTTTCTCGTCACTAACTTTGGTTATCCTAACTGAACGTTCTCAACTCGTTTCTTTTGAGCGAAACAAATCTCTCTGCACCCGCTGACTTCTCTCTCCTTTGTCTACTTTGATGTTAATTCTCCCAACTTGATGCATAGTTTCAGCGCGAATTTGAGTATTGTGCAAGATTCTCTTCCGCTGGAGATAGCAGCTGTCTTTCAACCGTTAAGCATATCAAGTTTGCACCTTTCGCTGGTTGTATGAGAATCAAGAAGTGCCCCGTTTGGCAAATTCTATGTCTCACTCGAGCGGCGGTTACACTCGAGAAATAAACCCAATCGAACGAAAACTACCTCGGCAGACCTTGATCATGTAAAGTCGCTTTTGTAGATAATGAAATCTGACCTACTTTTCTGCGCAAAGCCGTTTAAAATTGCAGCTCGAAATCTCCCATTTACTTGATTGAATGAAGGATAGGCGTTCCCGTCTGCCTCTTGTTATCTGACACTAAAAGAATTCGATGACAATAAATTTCAACCAGCATATCAAGGTTATTCTATTTTGAATTTTTTTGAGGCTGTCGTGTAAGTTCAGTGCCATCCCAAATTGTAAATGGCGTGTCTGTCGTACAGCCATATCTGTGTCACTCGCCAGTTAAGGTTTAGATGTGATACAGAATGTGCAAGGAAGAACAGATGGTGCAGCACTCTTTGAAGCAAACTCTCCCCTCGTGTTAGTCCGTTGCGCGAGTCGAAAGAATTCAGTAACCTTGGGTGAGAGGTTCTTTTTACAAGTGCTACGAACTATCTTGGGAAAGAAGGCCACTCATTGCTGGAAGCGTCGTTGTCGTCTGAGCTCGATTCCCAGATGACCGGGCTTTAGTCACGTATGGGTTGGCTGTTTTAGTCGGTTCGTGTCCTTTCATCACGGGTTTTTGCCAAGGTTACCCGGTGTTCTTCCTAACACAAGAACCAATTTCGTGCTCACTATCTGTCTACTAACCACAACGAAGCATGAATGATATAAGTCTTCGCATATTAGTGCCTTTGAAAATTATAGTGCCTTGTCATTTCTCTACGTAGATAGTGGAAGTTGTGTCGATGATGGAGGACAGTATGGATAAACTTCAACAATACGGGGACGAACTTGGGGAGATCTGTGAGAAGCACTTCCCTGATATCAAAAGAAAGATTCCCAAAACAAAACGACGACAAATGAGCTCTATAGACAAGCTAAAAAATGCCAGTCAAAAGGAGGTTTGTTTCTCATGCCATGAGAATTCCGTCTTTATTCTATATTTACCTTGTGTGGTTACGAATGAAAGCAACCTTCAAAATGACAAACCTGGAAAATTAAGGTTAAGTTTTCGAACTGCACGAACCATGACGTCATCAAGAGCTGTTGTTAGAAACCTACCTTTTTTTTTCGTGAGCCGATTCTCGGCATGATACCCGGCTTTACAAACTTCATTTTTAGCTTCATTATCTCACGAGCACACAAACACATCCTGCTATTATCCAGACTATTTACAGCCCCTTTACCTCGACCACACAGAACCGCATATGTAGTCGTTAAGGCGTATTACAGTCTTTTGAGGTGCGCCGGCGGTTTAGCCCAAAAAGATAACTGTTGCATTACGCCTACGTAGAACACTTTATCACTACGTAAACCGCGGTGTTCGTTCTCTTTACAGTTGTTATCCACCCTGCAGACGTTGGAAAGCGACATGCAGACCCTACAGGACAATATACACAAGCTTTTAGATCTGATCGACGATTTCAGCTATACGTGACTTCTAAGCGTAAGCTTCTTACAACAAGCTAAAGAAGTTAAGGTTTTGCAACATGTTGTTGTGCGCGCCTTCCAAGGTGGACTTGCACTGCACTTGACCACTGTTAACCGATAAAAAGTGCTTTTAGATTTAGTGCAAAAAGTACAGGCCTTTACCTCAACGGAGTAGTTGTCTAAAAGAGTCTAGAAATTTTTGGGTGGACGTGTGAGTATGATTTTAATCCCTTCAATCAAAACCTTCAATTACTAAAGAAAAAAAAACTCTCGAAGATAAATTCATTGGAAAATGTCCCCCATGGAGATCCATGTTTCCGGCGCAATCTTTGCAAGATACGTTGCTTCTCCATCAAAAGTCCGCCGAACAAACATCAATCACTCGCCCCTTTATGTGATTAACACGCACAGTACCCTTGGGTTCATAGCTGAGTGGAAAGTACATCACAAAACACGCCAAATATGTGATCGTGTGTAAGAAACGTAAATATTCCCCCACTAGGGGAAAAACAACCGCTTCTTTACAACTTTTCAGTCAGTAATTGACAAGAAAACCTTACCGACGCCAGCCACTAATTGGTTGAATTAAGTTCACAATTAAGGTTAACCCGAGATTCCTGACATATTTTGAGAACAAAGTAGGGCTCGGCGCACGGTTTCTGTTTTGGTTTTTTCATTTTTTTTCCTGTGCTGAAATTCACAACTTTATGGTTTGTTTTCCTTTGTTTATCTAGTGTGCATATTAGCTAATCTTGGTCTAGACAATTCCAATTTTAGATGTACTGCTAATATTAACTTGATCAGCTTAATTGTTCTTTTTTTGAGATTGAAAAGGATCAAGAAAACCGCTAAAGCCATGTTACTTCGAGTTGATTCCTCTACAGTTTGCCAAGTTGAGTCCAATCTGTTGTTTAACGCAGTCCAACTGACGAAGAGTGCTTGATTGTTTCACTCCAAACAGAACCAGTACAAACAGCTTTTAACCTTTATTTTCCATAAAATTGACTAATGTGTAACTTCTTACAATGTTTATACGTTATCCAATTTCATGCGATGAGAATTGACATTTTTAAAAACTATCATTAGAAGGGGCGTTCTTGATATAACACTAAATTCTCCTAACTAATTTATTTGGAAAGAATATGGCCGCTGTTAGGGAGAATTGCCATTCAAATCTTGGGAATTGAGAGGTTAAATTGTCTTCTTAGAGTCATAGATTAGTCATAACGGTGCGATTGGTTATTTGTTAGTTGTAACTTAAAACGCATGCTGCCTCTAGAACAGTATACCAGTGCTTTTATTATGTTCATGACCCTTTTACACAAACCTTAATCCATTATTTATGTAGTGCTCGATTAAATTTCTCAGTTTCTGCTTATTGAGTGTACCAAAACGTACCCACCCCTTGAAAGGAGTGCCGCTGTTTGGCGTTTTTGCGTGATTTCAAGTTTACCCTTGAAGAACAAAGATCAGAACTCGAGGGAAGAATTTTTCATGAAAGAGTCTTGTAATGACGTCAACCAATCAAAGTGCAGTGTCGCCAGCTTTTCGTTCTTGCCCTGTCCCGTTTGGGTTGGCTTGCACTTAAAAGTTCCCCATTTTTCGTCGTCAAAATTTTATACGTCAATTTAAATACAAGTGTTAGCCGTCATTAACCCAGTAGGGAGAGATTAGCGCTTCAATTCGGTGTTGCTGAAGAGAGAACAAACAACCAAAGCGTTAAAAAGTTATTTTAGAATCAAAGTATTATATAATATATTTTGTAATATAAATATTTCCAAAAATTAGTATTTTGCTTGGTTTGTTCCCTGTGTATAATCTCAGTCACTTAATGATGAGTGTTGAAAAACAAGTGCTTTTACGAAATGAGTTTAGGAGTTTTAGAAGTCTTTTACCAGGTGGCCTGTTTTAGAGTATTTTAAGATTGACAGTTGTTGAGAATTCATAAATATAATAAAGCTTAACCGTTTTAATTTAGCCGTTTGGGATATGATATTCGATAGTGGTTTCGGATGCTTTGACTTAATGAAGCTCATTATATTTGCCGAAATGTCGTAAAGGTTATTCGTGCATAATGGTGTCTGTAATTTTTCCAGGGAGTGATTTAGTTTCTTGGTGGGGATAACATTTTGTCCAACCCGGATTTAGAATTGACGGTGTAATATGCGAGTTTTGCACTTGGGTTAAAACAACATAAGCCACCCATCTAGAACAAAAAGCCATGGTTTTATCTTTTCGGTTAAGATCTCAATTACTTAGCATGGAAAACTGAGAAGCTACGAATGTAAGAGAGATTAATCCGCAATGCGAGTGATTAACACAAAGCAGGCATGTCTGCTGAAATAGGTTCCAGCAAGACGCTCTTGACTTTTTACAGTCTGGTGTCGCTGTTTGGTGAAGATTGCGGTTCATTTCACCTCGTACACAGAAGGAACAGTATTTGAGTTCAGGTGGTCAAAATGGACATACGGTAAGGTGCATTGACTTGTCGCAACTCTTCCCTAGGAAAGGGTCAATTTATGTTGTTTATATTTAGCTATGCGGTACTGCTAATGGCGAATTGGCCGTGCGCTCGATTTAATTGCTCTTTAAACAAAGCCTATAGAAAGACGAGTGAGCGGAAGATTTCGGTGAAGTCTGAAAAGTGATCGGTCGAGATTCCTCATTTATCATGTGTTTTCCGAAAACATGAGCTCCGTAGAGCACTGTTTTGTTTCGACTATATCTATCTTGTGTGTTTCCGTTGTTGAAAGGAGAGAACAAAAGTATATCTGAGTAACCGTGGGTCCGCCATGTTGTTGCATGATTTTATACAATCTAACTCCATTATAAGCCATTATTACAGCTGCCTAACAAATATCAGATGTGATTATGCTGTTAGCTCAAACCATTACCGTTTAACCCCGCAAAAACGTGGTAAATATTCACTCGCTATATTCCGAACTTACGCCAGCGGCAAATGGGCGAAAACTCTTGGAATAAGTAATACTTGTTAGCGTGATCGCGTAGCTTCTGTCGGCTGCTGGTTCATTCTGGTGTAAGTCTATAATTTTTTATGTCAACGTATGATTTGCGAGGCGTGCCTTCCGCGGTACAAAACTGCCCTTGGAATGTCATGAAAATAATTTTTCCTTACCTAATCGGATAGTTTTTTCATTTATACGATTTCGTAGGCGGCAGTAGGAAAATATTGCTAATAAAAGCACATTAGGCAAAATCTAACCTCATTCTTCACCCTACTTCTTACTGGTCTGTGAAATCCCACGCAAACATGCTGGTGCTGACTAAAAATTAAAAAGCATTAAATCTGACGAGAGATGTAAAGTGCCCATCATAAATCTTAACGCATTTTATGAAAGCATTTAGCAAATGTTTATGTGGTATAATCCTCTTCCTTTGAATAACATTTTGTTTTCGATGTTGTTTTAATCGTGTGGGAACGTCGAGACACGAAACACACGGTGCTGGCGCTGTGTAAGCAATGTTTTCAATGGAGTAAAATGAAGGATACCTTCACCGAACGCACGATGAATACAGCCCAACTTTCTGAGAGATATAGTAAATAAAAGTTCTTTGATAAATGAAGATGGTGTTATGCGTTAACGTAGAATGAATTGGATTTGTTCCTGATATCCATGCTATTGTAAGGCCTAACGAGATGGGGGTAGGGAAATGGAAGGTGGTGGCTTGTTCTCATCTGCTAGGAAAGCTTGTTCTCGAAGCCAAACCAACACTTTTTCTCAGAATATCGCTTAAAAAGCGAAATGTGCTTCCCGTTTGGTCTCGCACGCGTGTTGCTGTAAGAGGAAAATGAAGCGTTATAGTTTATCACTGAATACCGAAACAAACTTCTTTCTCGTTTAGTGTCTTATTATGTGTCAATAAAGCTGCTTAGGCAATGGGTTGATCACTTGGAAAGTTTCGCGACAACTCTGCGAAAAACTGAGTATTTCTCTTTAGTTGTTAACGTATAATAAAATAGCTTGAAAAGCCCAAGAAAAAGTCTTAAAACCCGTACTCTATAAACTACCTCCAACTTGGTTCCCTTTCGGGTGAGACATCGTCGTTAGAAGAAAGTACCCACTCTCCCACGTGGAGAGATGTGAGTAAAATACTTTAAAAGTCATCACCCTCTTAATTTAAAGCTTAGTGTTACATGCATGTGTATGCAACATGGAGCGCGAGAGGAAAAAAAACATGGACCCATTTTGGAAAAGTTCCATGAAATGACTGTCATTGAAATGAGATTTTCTCGTGAGTTCCGGCCTTAATAATCTATCTTGTAAACTTAAAATTGACAGATATATAAAAGTATAGCTCGATCTGTGATCTTGAAATTATTCTGTATCTTTGTATGGCAGAATTATAACGAACAAGCAAAACGAAACAAAACAGAGGAATGTAGGTACGCCAGGCGTGCAAACTGTTTTTTCGTAACAACGTTCAAGAGATTGTAAAGTGTCATTGAAGTCCTCGTCTGTCCATCTGAACTGTCTTTGAAATAATAGATCTTATAAACGGGACATCCAAAAGAATTAAAAAGATGCTCTTCTCTGTCTGCAGTCATCAGGAAATTGCTTTATAGATCGTGCAGAAAGTGTATTTTTGGTAACACAAAGAATGTCATGAATTGAGATTATACCATGCTACTTTGTTAACCCTATCAACTTCGCCATATCAATTGTTAAATTGATAAGCACATTTAACGTGTTTTACTACTCAATTTCGACATTTTATGCTCGCAAGGGCTAACTGAAAAAGGCGTCACCATTGTTAGATGCCTTCTGATTTCCAGCGAGTGCCAGCAATAATGTAAGTATGGTGTTTTTCCGTTTTGGTGAATTATCGCTGATGGTAATCCACACATTCTTCAAGGCACTACATAAGTATAGTTGGAGTTGGTTATAGAACTTTGTAACACGTTGTTTATTACACATACATTGTTCAGAACATATTATTTATTCGTAGCCTGTAAGATATGGTAATACTGTTTGTAAAGGTGGACACCCAACAAAGAGGCAAGCTTAAACGAAACGGATACAAGGATAGTTCAGGATAGAGAACGTTGACTTACTTGCAAAGGACAAATTAGGAAAGAGTAAGCTTAATTTCTCAACCCAAATAAACCGTGACGATGCTCCCTATATGCAAAAGAGTTGCACTTCCAGATTATGGGCTATCAGTAAAATCTGCTTCCATCCTTTTGTGGACCGCTGCATTCATTAGCATGTGGAGAGCGTTTGGTTTATCAGTTTCATAAGACCAACGTCAGTCGACGTTCAGTTCTAACATAGGTTACAATTCCATTGATTTTCTAAGAAAGAAAAGGAGTCTATCTTAAAACATCATCATAAACTGAATATCCGAAATCTAGCGAAGACGTTATCAGTCATTACCACGCATGCTTGACGGAAATTCTTTAATCATTCCATCCTTAAAATGAGTAATCTGTCGAGGAACATCAAGGAATTTACTGTTAAAGCCAACTGTCCAACTGCAGATCTTTTAACAGTTTCAAAGCATGAAGTGGCTAAGAGTATAGTTTACTGTCCAAGGGGCCGCTTCTTGAAAGTCCCGGTAACTTAACGGGCCCAAAACCGTATTTTAAAATTATTATTCAAAGAACTGATAAGCAGGTTCTGACACCCGAACCAGTCTATTTTGTTTCATGAGCTGATAGTTTTATTGTATAATTTTCAAAAATTTTGACAACCCCATGAAAACAGAACGGCTTTACGGACCTGTTAAGTTACTGGGACCTTCCAGAAACAGGCCCCTTGACGGAATTCAGTTCATCGCTGGCCATCCAACAGCACTTTGCAAAGTTTCCCCTATCAGATTTCTTAGACCCATGTATACTTCGGCAGAGCAAACAGTTCCATTGTAATAAGGCAGGATGTCTGCCCAAAACAGAAAGCAAAACAGTGACCTCGATTCAGAGTCTAAAGCACTGTTTGGAGGGTTTAGATTAAAATTCTTTCTTGAGCCACGCCAAAAGGTCAGGAACCTATAGACCCGTCCTCTTCTTTACAACGTGAAAGTTATTATCTTTTGATGTTAGATTTTCAATGTAAAGAGTCTTGGAGCCAAATTGTAATTTGTGGTCCTCAAAATATGTCCCTCTAGAGTTCTAAGATTTTCAATCACTCTTAAAACGTGAAGAGGATAAATTTTTCTTACAAGCAATTCAACAAAGATCAAAACAAGAATTAAACCAGTTATCTGATGATAACAGAATTGAACATAAGACGATTAGAAAAGCTAAATTTAAATTTGTTCAGTACTTCAACAGTTGCTTGAACCTTGAACTCAAACATCCTGTACAGTGCATTGTGTCGCTGTCCTCATTTTCTGAAGCGACCCATAACTTTTTTATCGACCATGGAGGGTTGTAAAGAAATCCCAGACACGTCCAATAAAACTGGCTTAACTTTCAGAAGTGTCGCAGTTTGATTCACTGGTTGTCGATGTTAGCGTTCATTCATTGGTTCTCCGTACTTCTTGCCAACCAACGAACAGACGAAAATAATGAACTAGAATCGAATTAACGCAGGATACGCAAGTCGGAAGGAGTTAATGCCAAACTTTGATTATTAAATTAGAAAGTGGTAGAGATCTTAGCATGCAAAGCTTTTAAACAATATTTGAATGACTTCCTTAGGTCTTTGTAAATTGTCTACAGCTGGAAGAAGACCTCAAAATAATAGATATACTTTGCTAAAGAAGAACAACTCTTAAAGTGGAGAAAAAAACATTTAGAACGAGAACGAGGATGGATGAGGATAGAGAAGGTCAACATGGCTTGAAAATGATGAACTTGAGAAAAACAGGATCAATTTTTGAAATGCACAAATTGTGACGCAGTTTCTTCAAACTGTTTCAGACCCGAAATGGTTTTCTCCCTGCTCATATTTTCAAACATTAGCTTGCTCTGTTATGGTCCTACTAGCTACATTAAACGTAATACTTCCTCTCAACTTCAAACTGAAGAAAATTTACAACGTTCGTAAACAATGACTCAGAAGGAATCACTTGAAACGTTTGCAGGAATAAAGGAATAAGGAATAAAACGTTTGCAGGTGTGCAGAAAAGTTTACAGAAAATTTTGCTGAAAAGTTTGCAGGATCTTATCTAAACATAGAGGTTACAAGATCGGTTAAATTAATTTTAATGGAGAATGTACTCAGGACAAATGCTCTTCCAGAATAAGTTGTTTTGTCGAGCAAAGACCATAGTGATGAAATGCACTGAATGTAAAGCGTTTCCGTGTATTCTTTCCACTTGAAAGTTTATGCTTATTTTCGTGAATGATTGGCAGAAAAACCCTTAAGATCCACTAACAAGTACAAAGAGCCAGTTATTTTCCCTTCAAAGAACATACTTGAGAGCTGCAATATGTGATTGGAAACAATTGGATACGAAGGTTATTCTCTTGTATGATGACGCAAAGACAATGCCTTCGAGAGCGTA